ACCCCCCCTGGCTACACCCTCCTTTCAGGGAGTTGGAGAGAGCCAGAAGGTCTCCCCTCAGCCTCCTTTTCTCCAGGCTCAACACCCCCAGCTCCCTCAGCCTCTCCTCACAAGACTTGTGCTCCAGACCCCTCACCAGCTCCCTTGCCCTTCTCTGGGCACTCCAAATTTCTGCTACTTCTTCTCTCCCTCCCCTTTATGGCTGCCTGACAAATAGCTTTCTAAATGTAACTTCCCCTTGGTTGCTCTGCTGCATCAGGAGTGATCATCTCTCTCCAGCAGAGAGAAGGAAAATCAGCTTCCCCTCCTCCAAGCTGCTCCCTGCATGAGCACCATGTTAACCTAAGGATGAACAGAGAACCATCACAGCCTTGATTTAGTGTTTCCTCAAGCTAACACGAAGATGTTCCCTGAAGTATTTGAAAATAAATTACACCTACACACACTGTATAATGGTGACAAAGGGAAAACAATACTTACAGGAACTCTGGCAGCAATTGGTATCATAGATTCGTTCAGGTTGGAAGGGACCTTAAAGATCACCCCCTGCCCTGGGCAGGGACACCTCCCACCAGACCAGGTTGCTCCAAGCCCCATCCAGCCTGGCCTTGAACCCCTCCAGGGATGGAGCAGCCACAGCTTCTCTGGGCAACCTGGGCCAGGCTCTCACCACCCTCACAGTAAAGAATTTCTTCCTAATATCTCATCTAAATCTCCCCTCTTTCAGTTTAAAACCATTACCCCTTGTCCTGTCACTGCACTCCCTGATCAAGAGTCCCTCTCTACCTTTCCTGTAGCCCCTTTAGGTACTGGAAGGCCAATATAAGGTCTCCCTGGAGCCTTCTCTTCTCCAGGCTGAACAACCCCAACTCTCTCAGCCTGTCCTCACAGCAGAGATGCTCCAGCCCTCTGAAAATCTTCATAATCATAATTAAACCACATATCCTAATGACTAAAAGTAGATTCAGTTGAGTAGATACTATGTTCATGAAAGCTTAAAAGAAGTTTTCATTTAAAGAGATGCAAATATATGGAATAGAAAAGAGCAACTTATTAACCACTCCTGAAGTCAATAAAGAAATTAATAAAGTCCAAGGGTACTGAAAAGACAACTCACATTTAATTCTATTATCCACAGCAAGGTGACGAATAAGAGATCAAATGTAACAAACAAGCAGAAAGTCCTTCTAACATCTGATATTCCTTTCTTCTCTCTGCCTTCGTATGACTCAATCCTTGCCATCAGATGCGTTGGGTTGATGGAGTGGACATCCCGCAAGGAAGGACAGGATTCCACACTGCTACTGTGAGCATTTTCTGCATCGCCTGGCACCCGGTTCATCCTGGGGTTGGCTTAGAGGGGTCTTCTTCCAGTTTCACCATCACTAGAAGGTTGATCCATATAGGAAGAATTTCTAAACAAACAAAAAAACCAAAAACCCAAAACACATTAGTCACCCAAACCCCAATTCCAGTAGGTATTTTCATCTAACCACGTCAGTTCCCTTTTTGTCAAACTGACAACATTTGGCAAGTAGGTTCTAAACATTGTTTTTAAAATAAGAGATATCTAGGCTCTCTACGTTTCTCAGAGGATTTGTGAAACAAGAGAATTCACGTTCAATTAGAGCAGTGGGAATAAGGGAGCCATCAAACTTGAACATAAGAAGTTCCACCTAAAGATGAGGAGGAACTTCTTCACTTTGAGGGTGGCAGAGCCCTGGCAGAGGCTGCCCAGAGAGGTGGTGGAGTCTCCTTCTCTGGAGACATTCAAACCCCACCTGGACACGTTCCTGTGGGACCTGCTCTGGGTGGACCTGCTTTGGCAGGGGGTTGGACTAGATGGTCTCCAGAGGTCCCTTCCAACCTCATATCATCCCGTAATTCTGTGATCCTATGTCTAGACTGAGAAGCCTCTGTTCTCTACGTTATTAGAGCGAGATCACTAAATGGAAAGGAATAAAAAGCACGATGAGGCTTCCAATTCTGATTTAAATGCTCCCGATAGGAATCCAATTTAAAGGAAGTTCCACATACAATTCCTGAAAAACAGCACTTTTGGCTGCCAGCACATCCAGAGCTGACACAACCGAAAGATTAAAAGTCTATGAAACCCCCTGAATATAGCAGTGATCATTCTACAAAGGAAATACACTACTCTGTAGATAAATTCAGCTGTTATGACAACTTACATGGGTCTCCCTGAAAAAACTGTACACAACCCAGTGGTTAAAGGCAATGCAATTACCCTAACTCTCTTCTGACTGCAAGGCTTTAAAAAGAAATTAATTCAGGTTAAATTTCTTATAAAACTGGAGTGGTTTGATGTATTATTCAGTGCATCGCTCCAGGAGAACCATTTTCCAATTAAAGCTTCTAGAAATAGCTGGCTAAGGAGGTCATGAAGGTTTTCAAGGAAAGCACACACCATCTAATTTTATGCAAAATGCTCATTAGATTAAGCTATACATCCCGCAATACAAATGGCATCAGACAAGCTTCTGTAACGGTGGGGGAATAGCTATTTTGATAGTCAAGAGGAAAATTTGGTCTCTTCCCGTGAGGGCTGTCTCTCAGCAAACTGAAACCCTTCCATCTCTTCTATCCCAAGAGTGTTCCAGTTCCAAGTCTGTGAGGACATGGTGGGCCAAAGCAGACATGGGATTCTGTAACAGACCTCTCAGCAAACACGAGGATATGAGGGGAAAAGGAAAGGTGGGGCAAGGGGACACCAGGACACACACACACCACAGCCAAGGGCACAGCCAGGGATGGCCAACAGCTCGGTCAAGTGGGACGTAACAGACTTTGGGTAGTTCATTCCACTTTTCTTGGGCTACGTCATGAGACCGGTAACAGATTCACACTCAGACAGAAACTCCCTTGTCAGCTGGGTCTCTGCCAGCGAGGAACAGTCAGAGGAAAACCAAACCAGTATCAATCACCATCTCCTTCTGGGATCTGGGAAGTGTGTGAGCAGCAGGTGGAGGGAGGTCATCCTGCCCCTCTGCTTTGCCCTGGGGAGGCCCCATCTGGAGCACTGGGACCAGTTCTGGGCTCCCCAGTTCCAGAAGGACAGGGAACTGCTGGAGAGGGGACAGCAGAGGCTACAAAGATGATGAGGGGCCTGGAACATCTCTGTTATAAGGAGAGGCTGAGGGACTTTGGTCTTTTTACTAGGAGGAAAGGATGAGGGACTTGGGGCTTTTTAGTCTGGAGAAGAGAAGACTGAGGGGGGATCTGATCAACACCTATAAATACTTCAAGGGTGGGTGTCAGGAGGATGGGGCCAGTCTTTTCTCAGTGGTGTCCAGTGACAGGACAAGACGGAACAGGCACAAACTTGACCATAAGGCATTCCATCTAAACCTGAGGAGGAACTTCTTCACTTTGAGGGTGGCAGAGCCCTGGAAGAGGCTGCCCAGGGAGGCAGTAGAGCCTCCTTCTCTGGAGATGTTAAAAGCCTACCTAGACACATTCCTGTGGGACCTGCTCTGGGTGGACCTGCTTTGGCAGGGGGTTGGACTAGATGATCTCCAGAGGTCCCTTCCAACCCCATTATCAGTCTGTGATCTAGTCCAACTGCCTGACCACTTCAGGGCTGACCAAAAGTTAAAGCACAGTACGAAAGGCCCTCCTTCTCTGGAGACGTTAAAAGCCTACCTAGACACATTCCTGTGGGACCTGCTCTGGGTGGACCTGCTTTGGCAGGGGGTTGGACTAGATGATCTCCAGAGGTCCCTTCCAACCCCATTATCAGTCTGTGATCTAGTCCAACTGCCTGACCACTTCAGGGCTGACCAAAAGTTAAAGCACAGTACGAAAGGCATCGTCCAAGTGCCTCTGAAACACTGACAGGCTTGGGGCATGCACCACCTCACCAGAAAGCCTTGATAGAAAAACACCTTAATTTTGAACAGAACATGAGTACAAATAATCGACAATTTATTAGAAGATCTCAAAGGGAAGCCCACATGGCGCTGTACACCAGAAAAGGTGGTGGCACTGTACCTACCACAGGACCTTCACGGGGCACTACACAGAGCCAACATTTTCCTTTCTACACACAAATACCACTTAACTTTACGCTTGCAGCAGAGGCGGCAAATCCTAAAGGGTTTAGGAGTACCTCTTAAGTAAAAAGGAATACCTTTTAAGGACAGATACTACTTTTGGAGTATCTTTTAGGTTTGTGGTGCTATAAATCCAAGCCCTAGAGAGCTGGATGCCCTCAGATGCTGATAGCAAAGGACAGCAGCAAAAATTTTATACTCTGAATGGGTATAACCATTTTTACCCAGCAGAATCTCCATCCCACAAAACAAAACGTATGTATATTTGCTGATCAATTCTCTGACTTACAGGTGAATTCATGACTTCCCCCTGGCAACATCTGACTCCAAGATTTTCTTAAATCACTGACATAACAAATAATGCAGATTTTCAGGACTGAACTCTGAAGAAGTACTCACAACAGTTTCATCTTTGAAAGATGCTGCTTCTGATGTGGGCTTGAAGAGGGGTTCTTGCCTAAAGTCTGCTACTTATTCCAACCCTACCAACCGAGCTAATGAAAGATATTGGCTCTTCCTACAAACCTTGCCCTGTCAAAGGGATGGGGTTCCTTTCCCTGTCTGTGTGCTCGGCACTCTGCAGATTTCCAAAGGAAAATGGTGCTTTATGGCAGCACTGGGTCTATCCTGGGGTTTTTTTCATCTAATGTGCTCGCTTGAACACTGAGCAGGCTGTGAGCAACAGGCAGTGTCGCTTCTCAGGGGAGAAAGCTGACCCAAACTGATGTCATTATCCCCTGTTTATGGCCTGATGGGACACCCTGGACTGGAAATGCCATTGAGGAATCTACAAGGCTCATGTTCCACGTAGGTGAGAACAGGAGAAAAACAGCAAAGAAAAAGCAAGGTGAAAAAAGAAGTGAGATGAGGCAAAATGAAAGCGTCCCAAGCGAGTGGTAGCCCAGAAACGAGTCAACCACGGCTCAAAGATAAGAAAGGGGAAAAAAGACAAGTGAAAGGAGGACAACAGAGAACCATCTTTGCCTGCCCCCTCTCAGTCTGTGTCACGGGTTCATCGAAAGACATGGGGGACCAAATCCAAATTTAAAGGTTCCTAAACACCAGCATTTCTTCTCAGGCAACACAAGTCCCTGAAAGACCTCACCAGCCTGATGGAGAACCTCTGGGGTTTGGTCGTGGGGACACTGTTCACTCAGTGCCCGATGGCCCCACGGGGACCACCACAGGGTTTTTGGGTGCCCCATGGAGGGAAGGAGGCTTTGGGTGGGCTCCAGCTCCTCCTTGGGAAGGAACCTTTGGGTGGATTTGACCTTTCAGGCTCACTCCAAGGCAGTACCAAACATTTGCACCTCCCGCTGAAGCGGACAGACTGAGCACGAAATCATCTCCAGCCAGTGGAAATCAACAGTCAGAGCTTGTGACCCTGTTCTTGCCTTTCCAAGAAAAGTTTTCTTAACTGAGCTGCTGAATTTGGACACCGAAAGCGCCGAACTCCCTTCCATTTAATTTCCACCTGGTGCTCGCTCAGGCTGCCAGAATGATATTGCCCTTAGGATTATTTGTTCCAACGGTCTCACTCTTACAGATGTGGATGAAAAGGAGAGATGGCCCCCACGGGAAGCCTTAGGAGAACTCATCAGAGGGAGAAGCCCAGGACGAAGCAAAGGCAGGACACGATCCCGTGCACCTGCTGCCTTTCCCATCACACGAGCCACCCGAGCTGGGCTTGGGAAAGGGCTGAGTGTGAAAACCAAGCCTCAGGAAGCCAAGGCTGGGGCTAATATTGACTGTCAATTAGCGCAGCGCTCGCACCACGTCCAACGTGCTGTTCACTAATGACACCTCCCCCTCTGGAGGATCTTTTTTAAGAGCAGAAGGAAACGGTGGATATTGCCGACATGGCCAGTTGTGTCCCAGCCAGCCAAAAGCACCAGGCAAGGGCGGCCAAGCACAATACATCTGTAAAGCTTCCTCCTCTATTTCAACAGCAGCTGTCTGAAACAGGGCTGTCCGAGGGCTTCAGAGGAGGAAGACATAGAGGGCATGTGTTTGGTCAGGTGTCTCCAGTGCTACGATGAACTTGGGGCCACCTGAAGCCCAGGGTGTGAGCAGAGCAGCTCTCGCTCTGGACTGAGCCCCCTCGCACAGCCGTGCCGGGCTCTGTCCCCGCAGTTCATAGGAAAACACTTGGGATGAGGCACAAACACAACGTCTGGCCACCAATGGCCAGTGTTAAAAAGGAAAAGAAAAGCCAAGAAATTGTTAAAGAAAGAAAAAAGCCAAGTAACACCTGCCCTTCCAGAAAATATTTCCATCCGCATTGGCTAAAAGACATGAATTTCTGCAGGGGTTTTTTTTCTGATGTGGCAGTCAGTGCCATT